CTCAGGAACTGCTCCAGGTCCCTTTCCATGGGGTCATTCCCTCAGGAACTGCTCCAGGTCCCTTTCCATGGGGTCATTCCCTCAGGAACTGCTCCAGGTCCCTTTCCATGGAGTCATTCCTTCAGGAACTTCTCCAGATCCCTTTCCATGGGGTCATTCCTCCAGGAACTGCTCCGGGTCCCTTTCCATGGAGTCATTCCTTCAGGAACTTCTCCAGATCCCTTTCCATGGGGTCATTCCTCCAGGAACTGCTCCAGGTCCCTTTCCATGGGGTCAGTCCTTCAGGAACTGCTCCAATGTGGGTCACTCTTCCATGGGGTCATTCCTTCAGGAACTGCTCCAGGTCCCTTTCCATGGAGTCATTCCTTTAGGAACTGCTCCAATGTGGGTCAGTCTTCCATATCCATGGGAAGGGGTCATTCCCTCAGGAACTGCTCCACTGTGGGTCCCTTTCCACGGGGTCATTCCTTCAGGAACTGCTCCAACATGGGTCCTCCACGGGGTCCCAAGTCCCCCCCCCTTGCCCAGACCTGCCCACACCCCCCTCACACTCCCCTGCATGTCCAGGAGCAGCAGTGGAGCCTCCCTGACCCCGGCCTGCTCCGTGTTTCCCTGGGCTCCGAGCGCTCATTCCAGCGGTGTCCCACAGACCCGGCGTGGGCAGGAGGAAGGAACCCCAAGGCCTATAAATATTGCTTTCCACCCGGCACTCCTCGGGATCTCTCCCTGTTTTCTGGTTAAAGGCCGGGTCGAGTTTCCCCCTGGGCAGTTTGCAGAGCTATTTTGGAGAAGCGGGGCCGTGGCTCATGGAATTCCTCCGGCTTTGTGTCTTTGGCCTCGTTCCCCGGAATGTTTGAGGTCGCTGTGTCTCTGCAGGGGTTGAGTTCCTTTCCCCTTCCATCAGGGACTGAATTTGGGGATGGTTTGCTCCGAAGGATCCCCCAGGCATCCCGACCTTTGGAAGGGATGTTAATCCCTGGTTAAACACATGGAAAACCGATCCCTCCCCACTTCTGATCCCGGTTTGTGTCCCGGCAGCACCGCCGGGTCCCGCTGGCCAGCGGGGTTTGCTGCATTCATCCCTGGAGGGGGGATCTTCCCACTCCACAGGGAATTCTGAGGAATTCCCACTCTGCAGGCAGAGGGGTTTGTGGGCGTCCTGCCCCTCTCATCCCGGGAAAAGCGGTGGGTGATGGGAAGGAAAGCTCAGGGAACCTCGGAATGTTCCCTCGGAAGGGCTCTGTGGTTCCGTCGTCCTCGGGACACAGGGATGGATCACGGGCTGGAATAAAGACCTTCCCATCCCTCCTTTCCTCCTCTTGGATCCTCTCCCAGCTCTCTTTCCCGGGAGAGTTTTGTGCACCCAGTTGTTTTCCAGGCAGGGAACGTGCCGTGGTTTCCCTGGAGGGATCCGGGGCCTCTTAAGGAGCAGGGAGAGACGTGGAAAAGTGGGAGAGGGCCTGGAAGGGCTCGGGGATGAAGATGAGGTTTATCAGGATCCATGGAATGCTGGGAGTAGGGCAGGATGGGAAATCAAGGCCCACATCCATAAGGAACCATCCTTAACCCCACTGCTTCCCGAAGAAGTGGGGAAGAGCCAATTCCAAACAAAAACCCGACTGGTTTTGGGTGGAAAACTGCCCGGAATTGCACATTTCTGTCCAAAAAATGGTCTAGTTTTACAAAAATGGGGAAAAATATTGCAAAGCTGATATTGTGAGGTTCTGAATTTATTCCTGGGCTCTCCCCCCCACCTCCCCAGTGCCAGGGGACTGCTCTGCTTTACTTTTCCCTGGAGACTGGCTGGGATTAAGGGCTGTGCAGACCAGGAGCAGCATTCCCTGGAGATTTCCTGTAGGGTTTCCATAGGTGGTCCTTGGATTTAACTTGACATCTGGAGCCTCCTGAAACAAGAGGGAAATGAGATCCAGTAGCTGGGGGTTGGAGCTGGAGGAGCTGTTCCAGTGGGAACTGGGGGTTAATTTGTGAGATGAAGGATAATTAACCACTGGAATAACGAGCCAGAGGTTGTGGTGGAGCTGTTGCTGCTGGAGAGGGCCCAGGATGGAGATGGAATGTCTTTCTGCAGGAGGAGCTGGGGCTGCCCCATCCCTGGAAGTGTCCAAGGCCAGGTTGGACGGGGCTTGGAGCAGCCTGGGATAGTGGGATAGTCCCTGGGTGGGATTTAAGGTCCCTCCCAACCCAGACCATTCCATGATTCCAGGATACCTTTTCTTCCGGCTTCACATCCAGCCCCAGACGTTCACCCAGCCATTCCCACTCACCCACGGGAACACTGGATGAAAATTCCCTCAAAGGCACTGGGCTTCTCCAAACAACCCCCCAGCGAATCCAGAAATGATCCCACTGGGCAGGAGCAGAGGGTGGAACTGGAGCTGAGAGAATCCCAGAATCCCAGACTGGTTTGGGTTGGGAGGGACCTTCAATCCCACCAATCCCAGCGTTCCCACGGCTGAGTGGGAATGGCTGAGGGAACACCTTGGGCTGGGTGTGGAGTGTCATGGAATCATGGAATGGTTTGGGTTGGGAGGGACCTTAAATCCCACCCAGTCCCACCCAGGAACACCTTCCACTATCCCAGGCTGCTCCAAGTCCTGTCCAAGCTGGCTGTGACAGAACATCTTAGGGGCTATAAATCCATAACATGTCGGGAATACGCTGAAGGATCTCCCCAAAATGAGGATTATTGGGAAGATCCGAGTGGCTGGCACCACAAAAAAACCCAGCTGTGCTTCCAGCTGGATGTGACTCCACTTTGAACACCTGGGGAACCCAAATTCAGGCCGGGGCACAAAACTTCTCCCTTCCGGGACACGACCGGTCAAATCCCAAAATCCAGGAGCGTTTTGGAGGCTGGACTTGGAGGGACAAACGGTGGATAATTAATTCCGAGGGGTTTTTTTTGTCACTGGGGGCTTTTTAATGACTTCTGGGAAACTGCCCTGGCTTGATTTATGGCATTGTTAGAAATCCTGGTTGGAAAACCGCTGGAGAAGCTGCTCCACGTTGTAATTCAGCAGGATGCTTCTGCTCAGACATTATTTGGTTGATTTTAGGGTTTTATTTTGTGTCTTTTCCCCCCTCATTCCTCCCCAAATCCTGCCCTGGGATTTGTTTCCAGTTTGGGGGTTTTTTTAGGAGGGGTGGATCATCCCAGGCCAGTTATGGAATGGGAGGAGGGACTTCCCAAATGTCCTAAATGTGCATTTTTGGGGTGTTGTCACCGTGGTTTGATCAGGGGGGTCAGCACAGATTATTCCTGATCATGGCACTGCCACATCTTCTGTCAAGGAAGGAATTCCATGGAAAACAGGCTGTGACACCCCATTTTCCATGTCAGTCCTAAAGTTCTCCCTGTGCTGGGCACTGCTGAGCCCCTGGAATTCTGGGATTGGTTTTAGGCCCCTCACAAGAGAGACATGGAGGCGCTGGAGCGTGTCCAGGGAAGGAAAGGGAGCTGGGAAGGGGCTGGAGCAGCAGGAGCAGCTGAGGGAGCTGGGGGGGCTCATCCTGGAGAAAAGGAGGCTCAGGGGGGACCTTCTGGATCCCTAAAATTCCTGGAAGCAGGTTGGAGCCGGGGGCAATCAGGCTCTGCTGCCAGGGAACAAGGGACAGGAGGAGAGGGAACGGCCTCCAGCTGTGCCAGGGGAGGCTCAGGTTGGATATTGGGGAAAATTCCCTCCTGGAAAGGGTGTTCAGGCCTTGGCAGGGGCTGCCCGGGGAGGTTTGGAGTTCCCAGCCCTGGAAGTGTCCAGAAATCCTTTGGATGTGGCACGTGGGGCCGTGTCCGTGAGGGGGCCGAGTGGATGTTTGGACTCGATCCTAAAAGT